TCTAAATATTGTTGACACTCCACACTGGAGGAATAAACCTTTCTATGTTCAAAGTGTTTGTTAGTTCTCCAGAAGGTGATGTTTTATTGAATATCATAGGTTTTTATAATTTTTGCAAGTCCTTTTATAGTGTCATAAAAGAAAGGTGATCACCTGTGTTTCAGTTCAGAATGGTTATCAAGGAAGGTTAATTAGCTCCTAGGATCATTAATGGCATATACAAAATATTGTTCAAGACTGACACAAAGCCAGTCTTTTATCCTTTCAGCATCTCTCTCACACTATAGGATGTGCACAGAAGAGAAGGAAAAAGAAAGGTGGAGAAGAAAAGACCATGAAAATTAGTTAAGGTGAGGGCTGAGGTCCAAGACTGGAGATCCCCCACACTGGGCCTCAGTCCTCATCTCCTAAGCCCCCCCATGACAACAATGGCCATGAGGTTGACTGGGGAGGTCTTTCCTACAGAGGTAAAATTTTGAAGTCAATTAAAAAAAGAAGCATCAGTAATTTATTCCATTGCAAATTGCAAAGTATTTAACTATAAAGTCTTCAGTATTGTCTTATTCTCTAACATAAAATCTGTTATAATGGTTGGTCACTACATTTTATGGGGATGATTTTCTTATTTCCACCTTCTTTTCTTCAAAAATGGGAAATGCACTGACTTTTCTACTTCTAATTTAACATCCAGATTAATTTTTAAAAGTTAGATTTGGTCTCTTGTGCTTAGTTATCCCATTCCTAAGGTGATCTCCAAGCACCATACTGGGCCACACACCAGACGTGGTGTAGAGTCAGCTGTTGAAGGGGAAAATTAGATTTACACTCTTGTCTGTGTCATAAACAATTATATAGGTAATGAGTCTAAATAGATTTAAAGCTTTCCTTTGAAGACTTTCTCTCCTCCGTGACTGCAGTCAGGGTAAAATAAGTGAACAACTGTATAGCTCACAATTTCATGAATGCTCAACCATACAACATTATGGGACATCATCCTGGTGTGAGTGATAGTCTAGCCATATGATATGATAGGATGTCATTTGTTTCCAATGGCTTAAACATTTAGCTTATTTTATTTCTAAAGGAAATGCATAGTATATAAATTTAGTATAAGAATTAGGAAAGAAAGAAAAAAAATTGAATTTCAAAGTTTGAGGTTTGTATGCAAGATGATATCCACAGCTGAGTTTAGACAGTTGATGCCGTAGAATAGAAATGTGATTCCCGAGGTCAACAATATATTCATACAGATTTATTCCAAGTTTCTATTACTTCACCTATTATTAAACTTTTAGTGTCCTCAGTAACGAGGCAGTTGCCATGGTGCAGTAGTAACGTGCAATGCCAAGGACCATGAGGATCAGTCACCCAGAGCGTGTGTTCAAATATTGCACCAATGGTCTGAGATTAAAAGGAAGAGCATCCACTCAGGGAAATAATCTCCACCAGCCTAAACTAAAGTTCTTCAAAAGAAGGTACCATCCTAGCCTTCATGATGCAAAACCGAATTAGTGTCCTCAGTAGTGAAAGAAAAGCAAAAAAACTGGACCACAGTTTTCAAACAATCTTGGGTTGTAGTTCAGTTGACTGGCTTCACTGTTATTTCTTATATGTACTGTAATTTCTTATATGTGGTAATCATGCACTTTAGATTTCAGGAACATCTAAGTTCTTGAGCCCAGGGCATTGACGGCTTAGTATGCATAAGGGAAGAGACAGTTTACATCAAGAACTTGATTTTAAACATTATCTACATATCAATTATCAAATAATTATAGTCACTAATGTGTCACTCTGTCATGAACCATCACCATCTTTGCAACAAAGTGAAAGATAATTATATATATATAGATGTTTGAAGTGGCACAAATTCTACTTTCCAAATATAATGTCATGGGACAAGAAAGCTACAAGATAGGGGTAACCAGTCAAACCTGTCCAGAGGAAAAGAAAAAAAAAAAAAATTCTGTAGAAAGTTTTACTGATCACAAGCATACAGTACAATATACATAAAATTCCATTATGTATACATTGAGAATAATCTTATAAAAATTACCTTTCTCACTTAAATTTCTGTCCATCTCCTATACTTAATGACATTAACCAAAAAAAATGGTTTGCTCAACAATTTTTTATGAAAAATACATCTCTGACTACTGGCTTGTTTCAATTTAGCTGGTGTATCTTATCTACCAAGAAATTAACATCCTGTAGCAATAACAATAAAAATATATGGGTAAAGATAAAAGACAATTATACATTAATAAAAAAAATACATATCAATAACAATAATAATAATAATGATAACAATGATAATAATAATAATAATAATAATAATATAATAATAAGAATAATGATCAATCATTTAAACTAGTAATAAACCTCTGTTCAAATAACGAAATTCAATATCAACTTGAACCGCAATAGTAATCATTACATTATCATCAAACAAATGAAATATACATATACAAAAAGTATCTGTTGAAGTTCATAAATACATTCCTATATGTAAACATAATCCTCTAGTCATCATATACACTCTTCATTGTTCTGTCATCCTTATAATTGCGACGGATAATCTTCTTCAAATTCCTCTTCTTCCCGTACCTGTAAAATAAGATTGTTTTGTTTACATCCTTTTTTTACTTATCTTCCATTTTATACTACCATGTCATTCTTTTCTGCTCTGACAGAAAACAATATCTAATGAAACAAAAATAAAAAAGTATATTCTTATGCTAACACTGAAAAATTAAATACATATACCTATATATACCTATATACATATATATATATATATATATATATATATATATATATATATAATATATATATATTATATATATATATATATATTATATATATCTCAGAGTGTGAGTATGAGTATGAGTGTGTGTGAGTGTGAGTGTGTGGGTGTGTGTGTGTGTGTGTGTGGTGTGTGGTGTGTGTGTGTGTGTGTGTGTGGTGTGTGTGTGTGTGTGTGGTGTGTGTGTGTGTGTGTGTGTGTGTGTGTGTGTGTGTGTGTGTGTGTGTGTGTGCCGCGCGCGCGCCATGTGCGTGTGCTGGTGTGGGTGTGCGTATTGCTTTTTGAATCCTTGAAAAATTAAATTAATATAAGTAATTCTACTAGGAAGTCATAACCCTTTGCTTTATTTTTTTCAAAAAGTATTTAGAAAAAAAAAAAAATAATAATAACCACAAGTAAGGAAAATATACAACACCTGGTGCAATAATATTTCTTCGTTGCAAGTGCTTAACGCGTTCTTGGAACAGGTTCCCAACTGGTCTCATCCTTCGAAGGCTGCCTGATAATTTATCTCCATCACAGACTGTGATATCCTCAGCCATAAACCTGAAGATGACATCACTGTTAATATTCTTCCTTGATTTAATTCTCTCTGGTATCAATTAAATATAAAATTTAAGTTTAACAAATTGCCTGCAAACTTTATGAATCATACTCGCCTTACTGGACCTAAACGCCGTGTTGCAAATTTCTTTTCCTTTTTACCCAATCTCCTCCGGTCTTGACGTGCTCTACTTTTCAGTGTTCTGCCCCTCAGGGCATCCAGGTACGCAGGAACACTGTAAGAGCATAACTCAGTTCAGAGTGAAAAGACAAGTAAAGCATGTTACCTAAAGGATATGGATATGGATAAGGATAAGGATAAGGATAAGGATAAGGATAGGGAAGGGATGGGATGGGAAGAGAAGGAAAGGGAAGGCATAAAATGGGGAGGGGAGGGGAGGGGAGGGGGAGGGGAGGGAAGGGAAGGCAAGGGGAAGAGGGAAGTCGAAGAGGAAGAGAGTGGGAAAGCAAAGAGGATAGGAAGGGCAAGATGATGGGAATGGAAAGAAGATGGGAAAAAGGAAGGGGATAGCAAATGAAGAGGATGGGATGGGAAAGAGGATGAGAAACAGAAGAGGATTGGAAGAGCAAGGTTGTGGGAAAGGGAAGAGCTAAAGGTGAAAGGGCATACCAAAGGCCGAGGGAGAAAGTAGGGGTAACTGAGAGGAAAGTGATGATAAACACAAAGAAAAATATACACCTGAAAAGTGAAGAGGAGAGAACGAGAGATAAAAAGGAATGGAGGGCACATCATCTAGTGTTAGGGAAATTAAGAAATCTATGGAAATGTTGTACACATTTTGATAGGCTTCCTTATCAACTCTTTACTGGCTACTGAAAATTCACAAAACCACTCATGACAGCATTTGAATTCTACATATTCATTTGGTCTCAACTTACAGCTCAATTTCTCTCTCTCTGTCCCTTTCCTTAATTCGTTTCTCCCACATGCACTTCTTGTATTTTTTCATTCTTTCAAGTTTTCTCTGCTTCTCTGTCTTCTTCTGACTCGTTTTCTTAATTACTGGCTCTTCAACCTGCCAAAAATAAGACAAGTATAATTGGTAAGATTGCCAAATATTTCTGATAGTCAAATATCATGTACATTGTTGCTTGGAAACACATGACTAACAATAGGCAAAATTTTTCCAAGATCGTTTGTTGCAAAGGTTTTCCTCAAAGACATCTATGACAATATCACAGCATCTAGCTGAACTGAAAGTCATCCCAAAATTACAGCCAGTAATAGTCTTTAAGAAACTGAAGAAACCATATCTTATAACTAGAAAATCAAAGCCAGTGCACCTAATGGTAATGATTAGACACACAGCATACCACGTAAGGTGAAGGCACACCTAACAGTTATCTAAATGTACCCAATATAATTTACCTCCTCTTCCTCCTCCTGGTCCCCCTTCTTGTGCTTCTTTCCACCCCTTCTCGTCTTTTTCCTAGTCACTTCCTCTGTCTGAAAAAATATATATATATTAGTTAATATATTTATTAAACCTTTTAAAAGTCTTATACAGTAAAGCCTTGCTTACTCTTTTATACCTATTAATTTATTGGATACAGGTTTTAAAAGTATTATTGATATCATCAACTCAACTTCATGAACAATACTAATAGTAATACTTTTTTTATTTCTATT